TATTTTTGTTATAAATATGTTTTTCTGTTGATCGAGTTTTGAAACTTTATAACAGAACAGTACAAAACATTTATGAATATGAATCGTATCGCAAGTTCCTTGGTCCAGATTAATCTGGTTCAACAAGAGCGAAAAATGTTACAGCCAATTAGCTTTTTGCTTTCAAATGGTGTAAAAGCCAATCAGAGCTTGTAAAAGACCCCTGAATCTAGCGACAATAACAACAATGGCGGCCAAACAGCCACCAAGCTGCGTGAAAATGCACTACAAACTTCGAACTGCTGCAAGCGTAATAACCTCAAGGCAAAACAAGTCTATGATTTTCTCAATATGAAAGGGTCGTTCTAGATTTTCATTGTGCGCATTTTAGAATTACGCTCCTGAACTGGAGATATGACTGCATAAAGGTGGCCTAAATTTGCCAAACTTTTACTCTGTTCAATAATTGCACAGGGGTTATTGTCATTAATTTTTTATATCGATTCTCTATTTCATCCTCTTACGCTAACGCAAGAATGAAACCCCTGTAAAGTTAAAGCGAAGCTGTAAAAAATATAATCGCACAAATTTTCGAACGGTTTGTAAGGCCTGGTTCAAACGTCGCACTACTCATGTGCCGAACCTAACTCTGTTTGGAGCGACACTTGAGCATGTTTAGCGCGACTCCCGTTTCAAACGTCGAACTTAATTATGTCGAGCCAAATGGGTTTTAGGATTGTTACATGAAGTATCTTGGTTTAAAATTAAGGCACAAAGCAAAACGGCGACGAGAATTCAATGTTATGAGATAAATTTTCAAAATAAATTAAATTAAATATAATTATGTATTGAGTTCGGTACATGACAAGTTCGACGCTTGAAACCGTGCCGTGCTGGAGTCGTGCATCTCAGCAAGCTCTGGCGATCCAAACTAGTTTGCCGCTCCTAACTAAATCTGGACGTCGCGCCCCTCATGTACTTAATTCTCGAGTTAGGTTCGGCACATGAGAAGTGCGACGTTTGAACCAGGCCTAAAATGTCACATCTGAAATCAAAATTTTATTGGTTTCAGCTTTGTTTTAACTTTATGGGCGTTTCTTTCTTTCTTCGGCAAGAAAATAATATCAGAGTCTTTTTACAATTGAAGTTTCACTTTGAATCTCTGCTTTTTCTGATCATGAGTGAACAATTTTTTTCTGTTAAAAAGAAACCAAGAATTGAAAACTATTTCACCAAAAGCACCAAGAGCAAGAGAATAAACAATAAAAAAGATGAGGAAACTGCAGCAGTAATGTGCCTGAAAGCAAAGAAGAAGTTCAACAAGGTCCCGAAGAATCAACATATGCCGAACAAGGTGCCTTCATCAAAAAATAAGACAAAGAAGACTCAAATCCCCTCCTGTTTTCAGGAAATTACGGGAAGATGAAAAATCAGATGCCAGATTTGTTTTAAACACCATATCAACATTAAGATTCACAAAGAATATGATCACGAACCTCAAATCTGCAGACATGATAATAAAATGATAACTTTCCGAATGGTTTTGCCAAATCTCTATACCGGGACGGGCAACTACCTGAGGCGGCACCATGGTTGCTGCCTAAGGAAAAGAAAATTTTCCAGTTTTGATGCTTCCCGTTCCCTGGAAAATGCACTCTTTTAAGTAAATTTTACTAAAGCAATCCTCCTAATCCTACCGAAAATTCTTTTTTTTTGCAAACAAAATGAACAGCAGATAAAAACAACTGGTACAATTTCGCCGTGGTCTTGAAAATTCCATGTTGTCAGTTACTTCTAAAGCTAGGTAACAAGCAACACTGGTTGCCAATTCAGATCCCTCTTTCCATCTTAGCATGCCTTTCTAGGGGAAATGGACACAAGACACAATTTTATCTAAAGAGTGCCTGGATTTTTAGCTTTTGTGCCAACAAGAAATCTTCAAATCTTCAAGTTATTAGTTTTTTATTCTTCCATGTCAATCAATTTCATTGTCAATCAATCGGCTTTGTCGAGAGTCTTTCGGTTTTTGGCACGAAAACGGTGCTGCATCACAGCTCGGTTCTCCGCAATGGATGGAAGTTTTGATTCGAAGTTTTGGGAATCAAAACCAGTCGAATGCCACACCTTTCTCCCAAAAACTCGAGACCGTACAAGCAAAAGTTATGATTGTCATGATTATCGCCTGTACATCGCTGTACGAATCCTCTATCGCAATCGATTTTAGCTGTACCCGTTCTATCACGTGTCCATTTTCATACGTCTTTGTTTACTTCACGAAAACGGAAAATTAATGCCAAACCCTCGAAAAACTTCATGATTTTCAAAAGGGCGTTGGACTTAAATCAAAAGCAAACTGAACACCAAAAATTCTTGATAAAAAGAATAGTTTAGCATCAACTACAGTAGCTGTTTTTATAAAATTGCGAAAACCCAAGATAGTGTCTTCTTCGAATGTCCTGACCTAAATTTTCAAAACAATCATTAGAGACACGACTGGCAAGGTGAACGCTACCGCTAGAAATAATCTCACTCATGGAATATGTCGTTTTAATGTAAAGTTCGCAGTATCAAGGAGTCTTAAGTAAATAAATAGAACATTCGCAGTGCTTTTTCTCTTTTGTCTTTTTATACATTATTAACAAGGAACCGGGAACCTTTCTGGAGTTTCGTCTCTATTAGAGGGACGAGGCGTTTGTACAGCGTAGGGTCATTCACTTGATCCCCCACAAGCTATTTCTAGTTTAGAGAAGTGATATCAGTCATGACAGCTTGAGAAATTGCCATGAGATATAGAAAACATTTCCTTTGAGAATCTACAGAATCCTGGGCCAGCTCAGGCTCTGCAGATTTTTCGGATCCTCTTTCAATGATGATGAGTACGTGGTAATTCGAACACCTCTCGCAAGGATCGTAGCAGCTAAGCCACATTCTGCAGACGTTGAACGTTTGATCAGCACCAAGGGCGAAACTACTGGGGGGGTATGGGGGGTGCTGCACCTCCCCAATCTTCAAAAAAGCAGATTTTGTCGGGCAAATTTATGGCTGCTAGTGTATCTGTCGGGCAAATCTGGAAATTTTCTTTAGGACGCACTTTTATTGCTACTTTTTGTCCTAGGTTGGTTTTTTAATTCATGGTCTTTTCCCCCATCTTTTTTTCAATCTCCTCCCAGTTGGGAAAACAAAACAGAAACGAGGCAAGGAACAGCAACATATATACATTTCTGTCTTTCGTCCGTCCACTGATCAGCGCTTTCGTTTAGAGCTCAACGCGCACATGTTTATCTTCGCCTCGAGATGAAGTCTGAAGTATTGATCGACAGCAAAAGTATAGACAGAAAGTAAAGTGTGTTTGATGCGAGAAGGAAATGAACACTGTGTATACCCCTCCCCCCTACTTTTTGCAAAACAAGTGAGCTTTTTTCAAAATCTTTTGTTGTGATTTCTAAATTTTCTCTTGAAAAGCCTCCCCCCCCCTCAACGTTCCATCCTGCCTCGGAGCCCATAGAACACTGACAGTTTTAGAAGCATTATGAATCAAAGCATGAAGGATATACCATCTCGGAATACGTTGTTGAGAAAATCAATCAATATTTTCTTTTCCAAATGTATGAAACTTTCATTCATGAAATCAAACATGTTTTAAAAATTTAGGTCAGGACATTTGAAGAAGACATCATTTGGGTTTTTAAACATTTCATAACATCAACAGGAACATAATAAAACTATTTACAATAAACATGATCAAACGTGAACACCTTTTCATTACAACGTGGCGTGAACAACTGACTAATGCAACTTCGAGGTCTAGGAACGAGTGAAGGATTAACCGCGTGCTGCTCCTTCACAACAATACATCCATAAGGAGTTATGCCCCAAAATTCTCTTAAGGTTTTACACTTACGGTTCGAAAGTATTGCACCCTTCGCTAGAAAATGGTCATACAGACGCCAAAGTTTTTTAACTAAAAAAATTTGAATAACCATAACAAGTAACAGAAAGTTTTAATCAGTTCAAGCGGGAAGTAATATAAAATTTATCAAGAAATTGTAGTTAAGGTATGAATTGCAAAAAATCTTTCGAGTTTATTCTATTTCTGAACAATATCCATGATTACGAAAACATGAAAATTGAGCTTTGATGATAGGTATACCTGTAAAATACCTCCAATAAAAAACTTTTCTTTGCTTGAGGGATTTTGTTATGGTGAATTTAGAGATACGTACTTTGTGCTTGGGTGTCTAAAAATATTGAAATTGCTTCCGGAGCAACCAAAAATTGAAAATGAAACTCAGAGAATGCAACTGAAGCTCTTTTTTGTTGGAACATTGTAATCTGCGTAGCTGTTTCTAAATTCCGAAATTTCCAAGCTGTGTTTTGGTGTTCCACTTTGATAAAATTGAGACCCTACTTAAATCTCTTTTTTGAATTGCTCTCTTAATAGCTAGGTGATTTAGAAAGTGAAGACTTTTTTTATAGAAAAGACAGGCCTTACAAATGCTTGCTTTTCGGAAACAAATGTTTATAGCCAACACCAGAAAAACTAGAGGCATATTTTTTGACTTAAAACAAACAGCCTGAGTCTAAAGACCCTCTCTCGGGCTTCCCGATGATTTCAGCCCTTGAGGCGATGTGCTCTAAAAATGAAGTTCATGTAGGACACGCCCTTTCATCAAGCATGCCACGCCCTTTCGTCGGGCAACTAAGCTTCATACCCCCCTAATGAAAATAGTGAAGTTTCGCCCCTGATCAGCACATACAACAAAATAAAAACAAATGGCCGTACCTCCCTGTCTCCGCAAACGATGTTCAATTTGTAAAATCTGCTGCTGGTATATATATTTGTAAAACTTCTGACACCATTCGTTGTTTGAGCGATTGACCGAGCGAATAAACGACACGTTTTGACACAGAAAATCAATTCCTTTTGTTCCATCCAAAGCTAAGACGTACTTTTACACAATATCGAAACTTAGGTACTAAACAGCCTTTCACAAGCACTGTTACGCCATTAAATTATATATATATGAAACGAAACCTCGAGTGCTTTCACAAGCCACTCGGGTTGAATGCCATCAGCCCTCTCTTAGCCTTTCCATCCATGACAGTTCTTTGTGTGTGTGTGAGTTAGTGTCTACATGTTTGATAGCAGTGGCCTTTCGCAAGCACCACGCTTCTCTCTCACTAACTAACTAACTCTGTTTCTCCGTACTCTACTTTATATAACAGCATTACAATATAGCAAACTAATATCAATAATTGCCGGTGTTATTGTCGGTATCTATCGTGCAATACGTAAATGAACTAGTAGGAGGTGTTAGATATATTAGGATACGCGGGGGACTTTGTAGAGCAAAAGGGCATGTAAAATATTACTATACCGGAAAACATGAAAAACTAAAGCGCGACACGCTAATATATCCTAATCAAATAGAAGCATGAACAAATATAAGGATAAACGCAAGACTGACCTAAAATGAAATAAGTACCTATATTACAAATTCTCTGTATGTGTCTCAAAACATGCCAAGTGTATCAGAATTTGACCCTACATCAGCTGCTTTGTTTTAGATAAACACAATGCAACGAGGGGAACATTCGGTATCGAAAGCAAAAGAGCAAGAATGGTTCCTTAAAAAATTTCCGGAACAGATGATGCCTACAAAGAGAGAAGGATCAAAAAAATTAAAAAGGCAAACCTGATGTCGATTTCTGAAACCTGAAATAATCGAGACTGGTCACCATACTCTAAGGCCCACTCCCTCCATTATTAATTTCTCAAAAATCTGATAGCCCCCTGCTCTTATTAGAACCTCCCGCTTTTTAAATTTTTTGGCCCAGCGTGTCCTTCAATATTAAAATAAATATGAATTATGGGGGCTTTGCAAATATTAGGTGGTATACTAGCTCCCCTACGAAGCCCGCTACGCGGGCTTGCCAGTGGCCCTACAGTTGAATATTGAGATTAGCCTTGGAAAGACAAGAGTGCCATAAACCTCGATTCCAAAATGAGAAGAGGTCACGTGATAAAAAAATTGCTTGCACTCCTGTGCGAATTAAATTCACACTTTTGTGACTATCGCTAGGAAGGGGGGAGCCTTAAAAGAAAGATGGGGTTGAGGCTCCCCCCTTCCTAGCGATAGTCACAAAAGTGTGAATTTAATTCGCACAGGAGTGCAAGCAATTTTTTTATCACGTGACCTCTTCTCATTTTGGAATCGAGGTTTATGGCACTCTTGTCTTTCCAAGGCTAATCTCAATATTCAACTGTAGGGCCACTCTTGTCTTTCCAAGGCTAATCTTAATATTCAACCGTAGGGCCACTGGCAAGCCCGCGTAGCGGGCTTCGTAGGGGAGCTAGTCTTCTGTTAATCGAAATGTGCATTCTTTCAATTTGATACATTACATTTGTCATGTAGAGGCAGGGTTGAAAGTTGTTTAAAAACATTTTGCAAGCCCCGGTCTATTCATGGTCCTCGTTTAAATATTTTCACGTGTTACCCTCTTCATTTCTCCTGTTTATTCTAATTGCAATGTTTTTAAGTGTCCATCTTTTTTTATCTCTTGATGAATCGTTGAAATACTTTGCAGGCTTATCTAAAAGCTCTGCTTATTATTCTGAATTCTACTTTAAAGCTTGACAACAACATGCTTCTGCCTGCCCCCACCAATTATTAATCCTCGTTGACATAATTTCATGGGTTATTCCTAAAAGTTCTCCTATTTAGTCAGAATCAAATTTTAAAGTTCTCCAACAAATTTTAAAATTTTCTAGTCGTACACTCTTAGCCCTTGTCGACTTAAAGGGGCTTTTTTTAAATATTTTCTAAGGTCATTCTTAGAGCTGTAATGTTCATTTTAAAGCACTTTGTTCAATCTTTGTTCACTTGTGATGCTGTTTTAAGACATAATTGCGGGCCACCCTCAAAGCTCCCTGTTTATTCTGAATCAAATATTAAAATTTTCCAACACAATATTCCTGTTAGCCGTTATTGGTCCATGGTGCTCGTTTAGACAAACATCATCTGAAAATTTCTTAAGAATAAAAATTCCTAAAAAAGTATGTTGATTCATAAAAAATGTTAACGATTTCTGATCTAAACTCCAAAGAATTAAAATAATTACACAGTTATTTCATTTGAGGGCCTGGTAACATATCTTCGTCACAATTAGCTTTTAAAACACTACAGCAACAAAGCACTTAAGAAATTGAGAGATAGAAAACAGCAAAAGTTTCGTGCATCAGAAAGGATTCTTACTCAAACAACAAATTAACAAAATACAATTCATGGACAACTGCTAATCTTCACAGATTTAGTAATTTTCTCCACAGTCATGGTTTTTTCTTGTTTCTTTGTTCGATTTTACGCCAGCATAAATGCCATAAATTTCGTTTCGAAGGGGTTGAGGATCACGTCTGCGTCATAATTATTGATTGAAACGATCTTTGATCTAGATGAAGAACAAAAAAATAATGAAGATGTTATTCCATGGTTAATGAAAGCACGTTCTAAGGAAATCGATGGTCATAATGCTTTGTAAAATTTCAGAAAAAACGTTCGCCCCGAGAGCTTAGCCACCCCTTTAGCGACTGGTTTTTAGTATAATTTCATCAAATTAAGCATAAAATCATTTGAAATTGTTCTTGTTAAGCGAGCAATATAGCAAATCCATTTTCCTTTAAGGACAAAACTACGAAGAGGTAAAAATTTAAGAGAAACACGTTCGTGGCGGGACTCCTTTTAGCAACCGGTTTTTAGTGTGATTTCGCCCAAATAAGCATAAAGTCATTTGAAATGATTTCTAGAATGATTCACTTACAATTGCGAAAATGCTGTCAAAGCTATAAATAATTCTAACTTGAGAGGCAGGCAAATCCTATTTGTCTCGGTGGGAAAATCTTTTAATCGAAAAATTACTCACTTGTTGTACCAAAAAGTCAGCGAATCCGATCGTTCATCTACAAAAAAGGAAGGAAGGCGGTTAGGAAAAGTTGCTGCAAAGGATTCTCGTTAGGCATAAAAAGTTGGGGGCTGGCATTACATAATTCGCATTACAACGGGTTTCCTATGAAAATCAAATTTCCTTGCATCAAGAATAAACAGCAGTTGATTGCAATAAAGCCAATCCAGTTTCCTTTTAGCACAAAACCACGAGAAGAGGTAAAAATTTTTCGTTCGCGGCGGGATTCTAGCAGCCGGTTTTTAGTGCAATTTTATCCAAATGAGCAGAAAATCATGTCAAATAATAAATTTCGAAAACACGTAAGAACAACAACGCTTACTTGTACTCCCATGCCATCGATTTTGATGCCAGTGAAGAAGGGGAACAGCCAGCAGCCATCGCAGAACCGAAAAACGGGCAGCAGCGGGTGTACCGTACGTAGCTACTAAAACGAAGAAAGGGAAGATCAGCACGAATAACATGGCTCTTGCAAATTAAATAATAACAAACAGGGTTTCAATCGATCGATCGATCGATAAAAAGGAAAGGAAAATGACGACGAAAAGTTTATGAAAAGCTAGCGAGACTCACCTGTAGCACTGTAGCACAGTAGCACCGTAACACCGTAGCACAGAACACGACCGTCGACAACCGCTTCGAGTTCGAAAAGGAATGCCAACCAGCACTCAGCAGTGCACGTAGATTTATCATCCAAATCACCGAAATTATCGGCAGACAGTAGATTCTTTGTGGAAAGCAAAACGAATTTGAAAAGCCTCCGTTCAAATTGAAGGGTTGCTGGAGGAAGAAGTTTTGAAACTTTTTGTAGAGAGCAAGAGAAAAGAGAGAGAAAGAACCTTTAGAAACGCGAACGCAAAAGCCAGTATTTTACCCATCAAAGGGAGGGAGGAAATGTTTTGAAAAATCCTTTGAAAAGGTACTCGATCTCTTTCAAAAAAGTTAGGGATGAAAAGGGATAATCGCTTTAGAATCAAAGGTCAAGGTTTTCAATCAACAACTACTGACTGGATGACAATCGACGTTTTCAAAACATCCAGGAAAGCGCTAGAAAAAGTCTTTGAAAAGACAAACAAAGAGAGCGAAGCGTTAGCAAAGAAAATGGCCTCGTTGAGCAAGGCCCATTGAGAGAAGACACGTCGCGAATTCGGAGCGAGGGAAGCGAGCAAACGAAGATTCGAGACCTTTCCACACAATCGCAACCCCAGAGGAACCGAACTACCGAAGCTCAGTTCAAGGGGTGTAGCAGTTTTTGCGGAGTTCGTGCAAGAACTTTCGATGGGAACGGACCGATATCAGATGTAATCGGACCGATATCAACGGAGCGAGCTCATTTGCATATGAGCACATTAGTATTATTTGTAGAGATTAACGTACAGATGGCTCAGTTATTCGACGTACAGATGGCAGGTTATATTTTGCAAATATTTGCGAATATATTAGGGGGGCTTTGCAAAAAGTAATTGAGAGGCGCTGCTCTAATCAGAGTTCGTAGAGACTCCTCCAATTTTTATGTCATCGGCCGGATCACAAGTCGCCCGCCGCCGGATTGAATGACGTAATCGAAATCGAAGTTTCTAAGCGTTATTTAGTGTTGTCAAGAATGTGCCTTTCTTATAATTTGCAAAAGACGAGGAAGGATAAGTCTCAACTTTGCTCGCTATTTCTGCAAAATGCAGAGGTTAATAGGAAGGACCTGCATTTTGGTATTAATAATTACGGTTGTGTTTCTGAACGTGATACATTGGATTAAATTGTCGGAAATTGACCAAGGTAACGACAGTGTGTCAAGAACACTGAGTCCAGGTATGTTGATTCAGTTGATCAGTGACTTAATGTGATAAAAATAACAAATAGTTCCTTCTCAATTCCTTGTATTCAAATGTTTTTCTATTTCATTGAATTGAAAAATCCCAATGAAAACCTTGGTGTGAAGCCATCAGTAAAGTTGAAGCCGGGCTGTTTCTTATCCTGTTGGCGATGCATTGGCGAAAGGCAACTGACGAGTCTGAATCATAGACGAGTATAATTTCAGTGGAAACGCATAGCCTTTTTCGAACTCATGAACTTTTTCTCATCATAAAATTTAAAGTTACGTTTCTTACGATCATTACGACCCTTATGACTCTAGTGAAAACCAGACTTTAAGCCGATTATCATTGCGTTGCCGTTGTAGTTGCACGTTTCATTTACAATAGCAAATTACAATGTCGTTTTGTAGGTATGGTAATCGAAGTTTATAATGAGCTCAAATATTGGTTTTTGCACCTGTATTTGAATTGTTAGTATTTTTGAGGGAGAAAAGATTTTCCTCCTTGTTATATGCACTTAATAATATTTACTTATTTTAGAATGTTGCAGTAGAGTCGCGGAAAGGGTTGAAGAGTTACACTCTTTTTTTATAAGAACCAGTAAATTTAAGTTCAGGCTGACTGTTCTTAATTTTTTCAAAAATCTGAGGCTGGACTGTTCTTAATTTGTTCTTAAATTAAGAGGGTGTAAGCAGTGCTTTTGCTAGCTTTTTCGCTCTAAGAAGATGTTCAGGCCTCATTTGCCAACAAAGTGAGTGAGACAGCCTTAATTTGCTGACAAATTTGAATATTCACCGAAAAAGCACCCACACATCGCTAAAATCCTCGATTTTGAGAAAAAACGTTGTTCAAAATTGCATTTTGAAGAAGCTCAGCCTCAGCTTGTTCTTAATTTGTTCTTAACTTTTGACCAATTTTGAGGCTCGTGTTCTTATAAAATTGTTCTTATAAAAAAAGGAGTGTAAGTTCGGTTTTATTGGAGTGCTCCGAGAGCACAGATTGAGACTGTAATGCAAAGAGTGCCAATTTTATCGAATGAGATATTAATCGTAGCGGAATTGAAAGTTTTTTGTAACCATTTTACTCATCGGATTTGTATATAGATTTATTTATAACCAGTTTTTGCTGTTCTAAATTTTGGGTGGCCGCACTGGAAAATCAGCAATTGTTTACTAACAAGCTTAATCCCTTTTCTCTCTATAAACATTAGAGACTATGTGTGTCAGAAGTTCTTCCTGAAATCTTGTTCGGTGCTTCTAGGGCCAATTACAACTACGAAAGGGTAGAAAAATTGTTTATCAATTTTCAAAGGGTACAGTTTCAAGAGGAGGAGGAGGAATTGAAAAATTTGAGACACAGGAAGTGCGCTTTCTGCTGATATAAGTCAGATTTTGTCATCTCAAATGCAAGGGTACAAAATAGCTTTTGAAGGTGGTACACTCATTTAAGCAATAAATTTGCTTGGAAAATATTATTTTACAATATTTGCCAATTATTTATATATGGGTGGAATCATCACATTATTGTGCATCGAATGATGTAAAGTTTAATCTGATTCCGTTAATAGTTTGGCTTTTAGGGAGAGAAAACCAAATATCGTGTCAAAAACGTTTACCGTAACCTTAATCAGTCATATACGTTCTCTGGTGAAGATTAAATTCCTTGAACTATCAACGAGAATCCATAGTTACCTTCTTATTCAAGGAATGCATCAAAAAACGTGTTTCTGCTCCTTTCCACAGGTTGAAATATTTGCAGAAAGAGCCTTGCGTGCCACAAAACAAAAGCCGTTTGTTGCCCCAATAAAAGGCAAACCTGTTTGTTAATAAGATACACCCATTGCTTTGTTTTAGAAGGAAAACTGAGATTAACAGGTAAAGAAAGCGAGAAAGCCGCAAAATTCGGAGGAGAATACAAAATACTGCCATCTTCATCCACGATCACAAAAAACTATTTGATTCAGATTCTGCAATTGCTCCTTTTTTAAAACACCTCGATACCCCTATGTCGTTACTGAAATCTTTAGTAAAATATTGAAGTTGATTTTAAAAACCACTAGCTGTCGAAACTTCTTACAGTTTCGTTTTTATCTTTAACTTTAGATGTTGTAGGTACTCTGATTTACAAGCTGTAACACTGTCACACGGCCTGGCCTCTTTAGCTAACAATTTTTAGATAAAAACTACTTTAAAATGCAAAATTTATTTACTTACATCATTAATGGTTGTACTTACATCATTGATGGCTGCCAATTATGCTAATTTGAAGCATTCATTGTGTGAAATTGTAATTGTACTAATTGATTAGCATTAGTCCTACAAGTTTATGCAAAAAAGCTGTGCCCAATGAGGAGGACTTGGGAGAATGTCTCCTTCACAAAATCACAAGTTTGGCCTCGGCCAAAGTTTTCTATTCATTGGCATTGGACGAGAAGATGTTTGAGGGAGAAGGAGGGGGGGGGGGTTCAATGGCAGGCAATGTGCCGATTGATGCACATATTTGTCAAGAGACCTTCATACTCTTTTTATTAGTAATTAATATATATTTAATTAGATTTATTGTAAATAGTTGGTTTGAATTAGTTATTTCAAGAACTATGTACGTACCAACGGTAAATAAATTAATAAAATTAAATGATAAACATATGACATGACATATGACGTGTATTTTTTCAATTGTCGGAAGTTATAAGAAAGGTTAGAACGTGTTAGATCTCATCCAAATTATCAGTGAACGAGATATCGCAGACAAATTGTCCTAAAGAAACTAGTTGAACTGTTGAAAACCGTGAATCATCGCAAACCTTTTTGTGACATACATATATGCAACAACATCACCTTACTTAGCCCAAAATTCCTTACTTCTAGACAACGACACTGTTGAACAAAGGGTGTCGTTTTTATAAAAGACCTGGTTTCTAGAAAACCCGACATTATCCTGAAACATTTCCCCCAGTCCTCCCTCCTACCCGAAGGCATGCACCACCTCTGCTTGCACCACCTCTGCTTGCAATGTTTATTTTTACTCAGCCATGGGATCTGAGCTCAGCATAGGGTTCCACGATGGATGACGGTATTCTTCTTTTTTCTAGATTTACACCCTTCTTTTTTCTAGATTTACACCCTTCTTTTTTCTAGATTTACACCCTTCTCTTCTCTTTGTACACCAACTTTCCAGTGATAATAGTTTCAGGATCTTTAGCACCTAATGATCTTCTTTCACCAGCCTATAAATAAATATTCTTACATGGTCTTCAAACAGTTCAATTCTTTGTTTCAAACCAATAGCAGATCCGTACTCCGTGCATCCTTGCCTCCCTGAACTAGCTACAATGATGTAAACCAAGCTCCATGAAATTCATCTGGCTTTTGCTCTCATTTTTCTTGCTTTTTTATAAAGACATTTTGTTCTATTTCTACCGGATGAAAGGCTGGATGGACGGCCTCTCTTATTTAAGTATATCTGCTTAGATAGCCCATCTTTAAATTATCTTTTCTAAACCGAATCTTGAAGTAATACATACGTTATGACAAGTAATATTAATTTTGGCTTTTTTGTTTATAGTTCTAATTTGGACTTTTTTGTTCAATTTTGTTCATTTGTTTGTTAGTTAGGCCTTAGTTTCTAAGCATTTCTATACGCCATTATCGTATACTCTCTTTTTGCTTTGCAGAATACATGAGGATATTGAAGAAAATTTCGAGTTTTCGCGTTCAACCACACCTCTCAAAGCATGACCTGATCAAAATTGCAATGGATTATGAGTCTCCGATGAAGAAAGACGTTCAAACCCGTGTCCAGCATATCACGAGTGAGATCCCCAGAGCTAAGGCTTTGACTCAACAAACATCAACATCAAGTACAATTCAGCAGCCAAAGAAAGAGCATTGTCTGCCATTTAATGATCGCCTGCACCCACTTTGCCAAGAGAAATTTCAGGTGCATTTTGCATAAAGCAATTCATCCTGCCTAGTTGCAGCCTTAATTATTGTCGAGAAACTTTTTTTGCCGATGCTAACATTCCTTCTCTCACTGAAAATAACTTCTTTTACAGGAAATTAAGAAAAGCTTGGCAACGAAATGCTACAAGGAGGTCCATAAATTGGATGGTTCGAACTGCTCGATCCTTTCGTATCTACAAGAGGTTTTTGCAGTTTTCATCTTATGTTGGTAATTTGCTGAATGATAAGGTTGAAACATAAAAACTCGAATATTTAACCAAGGATTTTGTCATATGGATTTATACGTTTGATATAATGACAAGTTATGAGCTCCTGCACTTGAATTCGTTTCCATTCATTTTGACAAATAATAGCATTTAGCCATTCTTTCCCAATCCCCACGTCACAACTACTACACCACTGTCCTTATTATATCAATATTAGCACTCTCCGTTGTGCCGAATGCCTTGGTCTCTTTTCAGAAGCAGATCCAAAAAGAAAATTTGTCCAACTCTCATCAGTGCAGTATCTTTAGTTCAGCATAGACTAGGTGCTTGCTATTTGAACAACCCCGTAAAGTTTTAAATCAATCAGGAAAACTTTAACAGTTCTTTTTCTCTTTTATAATTAATTTTCTTTTTTAGTCGCCACAAGTCTTTGAATACGAGCCACAATATTTCCATGTATTGTAAACATCTATTAAAATAAGCAACTTCTCATTCTATATTTCATTTTTTTGCCTCTTTATGCCTTCAAACCATCAAATTATCATTTCAATCCTGATCTCTTCTACAGAACTTGACTTTTAAATTATCTTGGGTAAATTTTTCTTATTAGATTGAGCCATTTTGTGGAAAAAGTCAAACAAAAAAAGAGAATTTGCCGTCAAATGGAGATGATTCGAAGGTAAATTGACGAGCAGAAAATGCACCTTGATAAATATTTTAACACGGGAAGAGAAATATATGCAAAATTATTATAATACTTTTTATGGCATTGCATGAATGTTGTAATTCATTTCAATCCTGATCTTTCAGATGGTAGGGAATCGTCCATCGCTTTTCTTTTTGCAGCAAATAACTCAACATTGAAATAAGTTGTGCGAGCTATGTGTGGGTAGAAGATAGATGACAAAGATTACTTGTCTCAGCTTTTATTTGACGCACTTTTGCAGGTGTAAAAAGCAACGATTTAATTCTTTCAGAGAAACATTCGCACCGATCTTCAAGGATTTCTAACCCTTTTGAAGCACAAAGATTTTCATTGGATGAGGAAAAGAGCAACAGCCCTTTGGTCAGACTGGGTGGATGCTGCGCAGAGGCTTGATAGTGATGGAAGATATAAATCATATCGTCGTAAAAGAGTAATGATTCTTTTTGAGCTTCCCTTGGTTTTGCTCTTTTGAAATTCAGAGAAGTTAGTTATTTTTGACCAAGTAACAAGAAACATCCAATCCTTTTTTAATTATTTTACGAAATTCTCTTTGGTAGCACAAACATCACGTTTCGAGATGCATTCAAAAAATTCTTTCACTGCGATTGCTTTGTTGTCGTGTGAAAGGAGTACCAAAATATGACGTCTTTGAAAATACATATATTTTTAATTTTGACTACATATCCTGAAATAATACAAAACATTTAGCTAGAGGTGTAAAATGGATTGAGTCTGGCTCAGCTTGACTGGAATGCAAGCATATTGCTAGTAGTGTAAAATCAATTTCATCTGATGCAGCTTGACTGAAATGTAGGAAAAAGAATAATTAAGCTTTTGATAATTCTATAGTAGATTAAATTTAAGAATCTCTAATCGATTATAATAAAGTCATCACTTGAGACGAATTTGCCGCAAAAAATTTGGCCTGCAAATATCCTGCATTTATAACGAGCTTTGCATTTGCTAGATCTTGATTTATCCTGGCGCCCTTTCAATACAGAGATGGTTATTAGAAAGGGCGGGAAGTGGAACTTTTTTGGGCGAATTGGTTCAATGGACTGATACAATTGCTAGTGCCTATGTACTTGGTCACGATATCACTGTTGTACTGGAAAACAAGAACACCAGAAAGTGAGTTTTTTCATCATAACCAAACACTTTACTTAACCTTTGCTGTTACTCCATCAATCAAAGCTGTATCTGCCTTTTTCTAATTCATTGGGAGGGGGGAGGTTGGGCCTTTTGCCCCAAATAATGGTGTCCCTCAAATCATTCTCTCTACAGCACTGCATGGATTTACCCTATTGACAATTAAAGCCAATCTACAATCATCCTCGGGGGGTTTGTGAATTGCGCAAGAGACAATTTTAAATGACCAAGGAGCATCTGCTTGCATTCTTCCGCTCCATGATTTTCCAGAAACACTTTCTGCTTAGAGAGGCCCGGCACTGTATTGGGAGGGGGGCGTGGAGCATGACACCCCCTGGAAAAATTATTCCATTGCAAAAACGAGGAGTTTTTTACCATCTAGGGGTGTTTAGTTGGCAATTTCCAAACTTGTCGGCAAATAAAAGATGGCTCACCAACTTTGTCGACAAATGGGACTTGGAAACGTCCCCCTTTTAGCAGAATAGCTAGCGACGGGCCTGTTTCAAACATACCGTAAATTATCTTTTAAGCCCCCCGGGGGACTTATTGTTTTTCAGCATTTTAAAGGGGGCTTTTAAAAGAGGGGAGCTAAATAGAGAGAGGGGGCTTGATAAATATTTTGTAATAAAAAACCATTTATAATGGTAAACTAATTTTTTGTTATTTGCGAAATAGAAAACATCAAATCAGCCTTCGATATCAATAACATTGGTATCGCCATCGTCATCAATTATTAATTCTAAAATATCTTCTTGGGCCATGTCGCCTACTGAAATCGAACATTCGAAAAGGTCGACTACATCCCTCGGAGTACCAACGGGCTGAAATTTTGGTAAAAGGTTCTCACATGGCCCGTGCTTAATGCACATGGAATTTTGTCTTCGGATCTGTCGTGACTGGAAGAGACATGGTGTGAATTTTGACTTGATGCAAAGTATTGAACGACCAAGGGATAAAATGAATTTTTTTATCAAGTTTACTTATTTCAACATCAGTGAAAGTTTTGGGGGGGGCTAAATTGAGAGGGGGGGCTAAAAAGAGAATTTACGGAATATTTCTTCAAATTCAGATGACGAAAAGATGATTCTGAATTAATGTTCATTATGGATAGTATTTTGAATAACATCACCATGCAAGTAAGAAACGTCAAAACTCGTGAAATATTTAAAAAATGAATTCAACAAATTTCAATGACATGATGCGCCTGCAAATTACTCACCCAGCATGTTCCAAATCTAGAATACATTACAAAGGTATACTGTATTATAAATTTAGTAGGTTTAATAGCAAACTTCATTCTATATTTTTCTCTGTTAGCTGCTATTAATTAGCTAATTGTATCTAAATGATATTGAGCTTGATCTTTTATCCAAAGTTAAATTAAGTGATTAAAATCAGAACCATTTCTAGAAATCTGCTACACTCATTTTTATAAAGGTCGATGTTGAGTATTCCAGTTTCTTAATGTTCTTGAAATTTCAATACTCTTTGTTTCTTAAGGGTTTCTTAATTATGATGTCATGAATTATGTCATGAAATGTTCCTGACCTTTTTTATCATGGCAAGTGATTCGCTTCCGTTCTGATGCTGTATTTAGATGTAGGAAGTATATTTTCATCCCTTGTATCTTAAGTTCTAGGCCAAGAGGGCAATCTTGTTTTTGGATTTTACAAAATTTCGTTGTTCTCAGTTTTATCACGATTTTATAGTTTTTCAATTTTTATGCTTCGAGTACTGAAGATTCTTAATTTTTTGTGACTGTCCAGTACTCGTTTCTTATAGCCAGTTTCTTACAACAAAATGAGTGTAAACCGAAAGCTTCATAAAGCCATTGATAGTTTATCTTTGCTTTGACTTTGTAGGTTTTTGAAGCCAAACGATAATGGCTGTGCTTCGAAGAACACGACTGGTTTCCCAGCTTTTGATCTTATCTTCACTGATATTTTGGGAGAAAATGATTTGAGGATACAGCAGCTTGGGCCAGCTGCCTTTACGAGATACAGGTGAATTGATTTGATTGCCATCGCTGCAATACGTTTGTTTGCAGTCTTGTTGGATATCATAGCCCTTTTTGAATAACCACCGACAGAATAATGTTCACAGACGATATCGCTTTATTATATTCCGACATATAGGAACTTGAAGGAAAGATAAATACATTTTGTCGAAGATGAACTGATATATCAATCTATGACGCAATGCAGATCAACATCACACCACTATGATGTGTCGGTCAAAATGCTGACAAATCCGTACAGTGTTCTTATCGTCATTTTTACGTGAAAATAGCATGTTTATATATACCCCTTTCCCTGTTTCTTACATCTTTCTTAAAAACAATATATACTCAACTCCATTATGCATCCTCTCATATAACATGCTTTTTTGTATCTAATTTGGTTCATTTGGTTGTAGACAAAACAACATTGTAGTCGCATTGGAATTACAAAGAATATGATGTTTTATACTAGGACTAAATATTAAATGTTTTCTTCAGCTCAAGCTTCTGCAGTAAAAATATTTCCTTAACCTTTTCGCTTTAACTTTAAGATGCAAAGTACGAGTGCTAGATTCCTTTGGAACAGATGCAGAGTTCAATTACAAAGAGTATCACAAAGACGTGCTAGGAGGGCGCGGTCCCTGGGGGAACTTAAACCTTCTTCTTCCGCAGTTCTTTACTTACTTCCGTAAGCACCTTTTGAGTTTTTTTAAAATTGCCACTTTCCTAGTGCATTGTTACTTGCTAAAAAAGAACCACAATATTCACAGTTCATCAAGCAATTCTTACACATCTATATAACTTCAACACTTTGAGTAGAAAGGGGGAACATGAAAATTCGAGGAAATGTTTAATCCACCTTTTGTAAATGATAATGATATTAACTGACTATATGATAACAGAATGGCGGAGAGAATCATAAAGATCTCTACAATGCACCTGGTGACGGGTGAAAAGCTTAGATGTGCAGGAAGATGGTAATTTTTTTATTTCTTTTGCGTAGCACACAGCCCGGATAACACATTCCTTGGCTTTGCATCCGGCAGCGGAAAACTGGAAAACAAAACGATCAAAAAGGACCAAGCTGTTATTTATGGGAAAATTACTTCTTATTTGCAGGTAAATAGTTTGTAGTGTCACAAAAGTGTCATCAAAGTATCTAGGCATCCTTCCCCTTTCAATTATTATTTTTGGCCTCTTGAGACTAGATTTATTCACATAACCTTTTTGCCTCGTTATTGACTTTTATTTTTTGTTCGTCCTCGCTTTAGGACAAATTATGGTACATAGATATCATTAAAGAGTTTTTCGAAGTCCATGCAACGATGGCAGGGAATGTGAGTATCTGGTAGAAATTGTTAGCTAGTTCAAACTAATTGTCGTCATTTGCAAATCTTGCATCAGGAAGGCATTTTGACAGCCTATTTCAATTTTCCATTGAGAGTATTTTGAAAATGTAAGTAAATAATTGATATTTCAGGCAAATATCCCATCTCACGTGAAGAACCATGGAGTGTTAAGCTACACTGATCTGATGAAACTACTCAAAGAATCTAAGGTAATTGATCGAGGGTACCAGACTATGAAGTTTTTTTACCGGAGGAGGATGTGGAGAGTTATAAAAAGTTTAATTTACCGACGAAGCACTGGAGTAAACAATTTTCTTTTAAATTTGTCCCTTTTTTCTCTACCACCACGCGATTTTGCCGACCAACTAACGATTTTACCGACCAATTGAAGATTTTACTTACAGACTAATGACAAAGGGGGGCAAAGTTGTGGGAATGCCATCACCCCCTGCAAACTTCAGTCAGATAGGCCCCTGATAACTTAGGTTTGACCATGTTTGTATTAGCGCGGGATTTTTCTCAACTGCTGGAGTCCTGGCATCCTGTACCGATTCGTAAAAGCGTGTTACCGGTGAACAAGGTTACGTCTTTTCATGAACTTGAGACAATAGCTAATGTAATCCTAGAAATGTTGAAATAAGTTTATAGTTGTGAGATAAAATACAATGGTAAAATCTTCTTGCTCAAGAAGCAATGGTCCTACTCATGAAGGTTGAGGCAACATAGCAATGAGAAAAAATAAAAAGAAAATAACGAAAACTAACGTCAATTTGTGTATTTTGCGTCAATATTGTGTCATCTTAATTGTTAGCTTTCAGTTTCAAATTGATTATTTCATTTTATGCGTTTGTTTCTGTAACATCTTTCATTTGACATAGTGCTTTTCATTTTGCCAGGTGTTCGTTGGACTTGGCTTTCCTTATGAGGGGCCTGCCCCGCTAGAGGCTATTGCATCTGGAGCGGTTTTCTTGAACCCTAAGGTAAGTCAGGTTCAGGCTGCTAGACAGGCAGAATCGCTCCTGTTTGGAAGTGGAGAGAGACAACTGGCTGAGGGAAACCGATCGTCATTAACTTCTGGCTGGTCTATAGGCACAATGCTTTATTAAAGTGCTTGTTGAATTTTCTTTCTAGTATCTGTAAACAGGTTTTTGACAAGCTCATTTTTAAGGCACCAGCAGATGATGATTTTTGAACAGTTCTTTCTGTGGCATAGGCCATCTAAGATCTGCTTATTCTTTTGTAATTCATGTCAGGTACTCCTAACTGTATTTACATGTATTGTATTGAATATGATACAGTTGTTTTTTATACCTTCACCTACCAAAATATATTAATTTGAATAAGGATTGCCTAATTGTGTGACCATTTCAGTTTACAGTGCCGAAAAATAAAATCAACGAGCCCTTTTTTGGAGGGAAGCCGAATGCAAGAAAGGTATTTATTCAAATTATTATGCTAGAAGATTTTCCCCTCTCAAATCATTGTACTTCTACCCTCACCTAACTGCCTGCATCTAATGGAGAGGGGGGCAACTTTAGCGGCTGTATTAAATAGGGAGGGGGCAACTAAGGATTCCACTTTTTTGAAAGACATGTGTTTAATAAGCTTTCTCTACTTTTGAGTCCTCCCCCTCTCCTAATTCAAATATCATGACATGCTCTTCGTACAACCGTCAAGAAAAAAAAACTTTACTTCCCTTCTCACTACCCAACTTTTTTAAGCATTTTATGTTACTGCTATTTCTTTGCTTCACTTCTCAGACCAAATTGGGAACGATCAGAACTTTGCAAAAACATTTCCGTGCAATTTTATTGGTGAATTGCACGTTGTAAAGATTTATGCCCCATCTCATCTTCCCAACAGTTTTGCCACTGCAAAGAGTATAATGAATCTACACTTGATTGAAAAATTCTAGGTTTTCCTAAAATTGAAACAATTTTGCTCGAAAGGGACGCATACATCCTAATCCAAAATCCAAAATAGAGCTGCCAGAATTGTAACTAGCAGCCCATACGATGCGTCTGCTGCTCCGATAATTCAGAATCTTGGCTGGTTAACTATCAGTAATCTTCTAAGAAAGGAGACAGCCACGCTAACTTACAAATCTCCAAATCTGCTTGCGCCAGACTACTTGAGAAAATTATTCGAAAAATATTCGGATGATAGAGAACGGTTCTGCGTTCATCAGAAACTGATCTTAAGATACCGCTGCTAAAAACGATAAATGGCCAAAAGGCTTTTTCTTATCGCGGTCCAAAACTGTGGAACAGTCTAGAAAGATCTACCAAATTCGCCCCCTCCCTGAAAACCTACTAAGAACAACTATAGTCGGGGACAACTTATATTTCATCTTTACGTTCACTTTTTATAGCCTTAGTATTATTAAATATTGTAAATTAGGTTTGGTTGGTAAATTTTTTTTGTTATTAGTATTATAACATATTTATTAGCGCTTATTTTAATCTTTTAAACAGGTCAGGTTGAAAAACATATATGTATGAACCTTTAACCTGTATAAATATTATAAAATGAAATGAAATTTTATCATACCGTCTCAAGAAAAAGGAAATAGATGAAAGGTCATCTAACTTTTTGAATAAGCCTTCGATAGCCCTGCTTTGCAGTATCGCCCCTATACTTAGGTATATCTCCGTAATCAAAAATGCTTAGAAAACATATTTAACTCCTATGCGAATATAGAAAATGCAAATGTCTGGTTTTTAGGAATTACAAAATTAGAATCATTATAAGACCTTACATGATTGAGGCATAAAGATTTCAACCCCTTGACATCTCGCCCTTCTTGTTAGCTGTTGTAGAGTCAAATAAAAGCCCCATTTTCCAAACTGTATGGTTTATGTAAAATACGTTATTTTATGCCACAGATCACGTCACAAAATCAGTACATGGAAGATTTTGTTAACGAGCCACATTCACACACATTGAATATATCAAATAAAAACGAACTCAGATCTGTATTAAAGAAAATTAAAGAATATAAGGTAAGTAGCAGTATGTCTAAAACTGTTCACAGGTCTCTCAGTGTGCTGCCAGATGGTCAATGTAAAAATTAACTTGTTTCTATTGAGTTTGCAAACCATCAACTCTTGTCATTCTACTAGTTACAAAAAAGATATTCAACTTATCGTTGATACTGAATGCACTTAATACGTCAGAAGCCCTGCATTTGCCACTGCATTTGAAATTGACGTCATAAACGAACATTGAAAGGTTTTATCCAACTTGGAAAAGGCTTTCAATTCATAAAAGTTTACGGGAATATTTCCTCATTTGAAAGGTTATGTTTTCAATGGGTGTGAAAGTTTATGTGCCAAAGTTTGATGAAATCATTCAGGATCGTAAATAACTTGAAAATGCAATAAGTATCTATGAATCTACTCCATATTTTAGAGCTTTACACCGTACCTGCCAATGGAATTTACAAATAAGGGCATGCTTGAAAGATTAGCTGCACTCATAGAGCATCAGGTATTGTTCCAATCACCCTCTATGATTTTACCAACACGATTCTGATTTAATTTCAACCTTTATTGCTTGAAAAAATTTTAGATGTTAAACCGGTTAAGAAATTCTTATTCTTGATTTTGAAATACGATAGAATTCCTAGAAAGGAATTTCTTTTCTTGGAATTGTATGTATTAGGAAGAGTTTTGTGCAATGAAACCGGTAATATAGCTACAAAGAAATGTAATCCCAAAGACACTTTATGACCAATCTGCTGGTGTAAGTGTTGCTTGATTGTGTAAGGTTCTCCAAAAAGAACCGTGTTTACAGAACTTATGGCAAACTAATTCATTCAGAAAGACCTGAATCGTCAGTAGGCAATAAAGCCTTTACCGAAGATTGAATCTATTATTTATTCATAACTTGAGGTATGAATTTTATCAAAGCTATATTTTTCACAAAAATATCTTTGACAGGATCTTTGTAACCTTGATGCCCCACGCTGGCCACCACTGCAAAGTCTATATACCTTCTTAGCCGAACCTGGAGTTTCTTGTAAAGATGAATGTCATAGACGAGGTATGCTAAACCTTTTTATAAAATACATGCAACAGTCGATTTTAAATAGATACGTAAAAGAGTCACTTGTTTGCAGGTGTGGATGCCAAATACACGTTTTAAGACCTTCTTAGTCTACCCTAAGGAGATCGATTTTGGTATGCATTCTGTCAATCAAATCATGGTATAACTAGACACAAGCCTACTGTTCTCGACAGACCATCTAGCCATGGACTGTCATTTGTCACTGTTTTGAGGCGAACATTTCTCACATGTACCTGTTCTGAAAGATGCTGGAGAAGCTGACTAGTAGCGACGACATAGAGTTGCTACCTTTATGTTGTTAATAATTTTCGGCGTTTAGGCCATCCTCGCCTTTGAGTTGTGAAAAATCTGCAAAGTAAGGTTGAAAACTTTCTACCTAGCTACTGTTTATTTCTGAGATATAGAATAGGGGAGAAGAAAAAAAATGGAATCCTTTATTGATTCCAAGCTGAATTGTACAATTGCTCATGTCATCTTTTCACCAGAAGAAGAAGAGATGATAAGCTGCCATTCTGTATCTCAGAAATAAGCTGCCATTCTCAGAGTTTGAATTTGATACGTTCTATTTTGTGTAACTGAAGAATTTTGATTGTTTTCGTCAATCTCAAAAATTTGGAATGAAGCATCTCGGAAACCGTAACTCGTAGATAACAGGTATAGCACAGCCATTGGGTTAGCAGGGACTTTAGCCCCCCACCCACTTTTTTGCAATTATAGGTTAGACAATTCTAAAAAGTTTACTCTAACGGATCCTAAGTAGTAGCAGTTCGTCTTGACTAGAAATCCTTTTTTTTTTATTTGTGTCTTATCTTGTTAAGACACTTTACTGTAATAATTGATATATTCTCTGAATCGGACTGTATATAAATAATAAGTGGAAAGAAGTAAGTATTCTCTAAAAGGGGCGATTTCCGGCGTTCTAAAGAGTCCTCCAAAATTTTCGGCAGCGCCTTTTTCAGCCCACTCACTTTTAAAATGGTGCGCGGTATCTGATAGATAAAGCCTCAAACTTCCACAAACACCCAAACATTTCTATGGGCCAAGACATCTAAAATTTATGTTATGGCTATTGAGCTTAAAATTTGACTGATATAGAATTAAAAAAATTGAAGTACTTGCTTACAGGTTTGATTTGCGAATGGTCATTCTTCCATGATATCAACAACAAAGCAACTTTTAAAAGGTAATTTGAATGTTTCTAACAAATTTATCTATTTATTTATTTATTTGTCTTTATTTTTATATATTCATAACTACTTTTTAACTTGGCTTTGGTTTATATATTAATGCTTTCACATTGCAAATTATATCAATTATGGAGAAAAATTATTCAAAAAGTGGCCAGAAGTATAATTTGTTAGATCGAGCAGACTGTCCTGTGCGCTGGCTCTCACAACTTTGAGCTCAAATCAGGGGCGTCATGGCCGGGGGGGGGGGCAGGGGGCCGTGGCTCTCTCTGGTTTCAAAATTTGACGGATTTTCGGAAAAATCATTGTTGTGTCGAAAAATTTTTAAAGCTTGAGCTGTGGGTAAAACCGAAAAGTGAAACGAACTTCTTATCGCCGTAAATTACCTGAACGAAAGTACTTTCCATATATAATGTATTTTGTCACGAACGAAAGTATTTTAATATGTTTCATTTGCAATATATCAGTACAGGTTAAACAAATGCAACAAACAAATTGTGAGAACATTTATGGGAACCACACTATTCGAAATAATGAGATTATTCATTGCCTTGAGCAAGTTACCAGTGCTTTTTAATTAGATATCTCATCCAAAAACTGCCTGTACCAGGCAGATGAAGCAAATATATGCCTGCTTAAAACAACCAGGCATATTAAATAACTTGAATCAGAAACCTGTCAACCTCCCTCTCCCCTCTACCCTCTACCCTCTCCCATTCCCCCTTCCCCCTCTCTCTTTTCCCCTCTCCCCTCTCCACTCTCCACTCTCCTGTCATACCTCTTCTCCCTGACCCTCTTTCCCACACACTTGCATTCGCTCCCTCTCTAATAATTTGTTAAATCACTGCTGTTAAAAATATTGTTGTTAATTTGCTGAAGATATCTGACTATCGCATCAATATCGCGTAACTGGAGCTACTTATCCTGTTCTAGATTTGGAGTCAAGTGCAATGAGTTGAGATCAATAAGAAGCTTAGAGTCGCCTTCGTTCCATCGTGCAAATGGCACTTGTTTTATTCAAGAACATTATATGTACTTTAGCTGTGTTGCCTACGACACTACATTGCAGAGACTTTGTCCTTGCAGAACCTTCATTCCAGAACAGTCGGCTTTGTGTCAAGGGTGTTTATAGAGCCAGGATTAAATAAGCCAGTAATGTTAGTATCAGATGGGCGACAATTCGAATATTTGAAACAATAAGTGACATTCGCTGTAAGATTTTCATAGAATTAATATAGTTTTGGGTAAAAATAGTTCTAGGCGAATGTAGTCACTCTTGTGGGCACCGCGCGGTCATTTAATCTTAGCTGGGGCTAAAAATTTTTTTTTCATCTCATTTCAAAAATCTTTATACACGAATTCTCTATCAGCTATAATACAAATATAAATAAACTACTTCTATTACAATTACTTCTTTAATATATATAAAATAAAGATGTTGCTGTTCTACCCAGGGATCGTGTTTTGTTTTGAGAATTTATTAACTTTGTAGGAATCCCTTCAAGTTTCTTTTAAACATGGAAATTGTGGGGCTCATTCTGATGTTTCTTGGAATCTCATTCCATGTTTTAGCCCCAGAATGAAAGAAACTTCCCTTTGAGAATTCCAAATTTTGCCTTGGGATGTCAATATCAAGCTGATTCCTTGTCGAATACCTGGATATCTCTGATCTGGTAATAAATTTATCTTTAAGGCTGTCAGGGCAAAGACCATTCATCATTTTGTACGTCATTATGGCCCTGTCATATTTAATTAGATTCGAAACTGAAAGTCATTTACAAATCCACCCGTCCTCAAATTTAGCACTTTCAATTAATGTTTGAGTCCTGTCTTGAAGACGCTGAAGATGTTCAAGCTTTGTAGCGGACAGACTTCCCCATAATTCATCACCGTATCTTAGATGGCTCTCGAAAAGTGCCCTGTACTTAAATATTAGTCTCCCCTTACTTTGCAAAGAGTAGCAGTCCTTTCTTGTTCATTTTCTTGGTGTTTTATGTTGCGTAATGATAAATTGTATTTTCTAACTTGGTTAACTTGGTGTTTAATTATTCTCAAGATAATTATATCCATTTTCATAGCAATGAAAACTGCTCTGAATCGGACTGTTTATAAATAAGGATGGAAAGTAGCAAATTTTTTCTGAAAAGGGCGTTATCAAACTCTCTAAAGGGCGTGGCCTCAAGAAATTTTCGGAGGCAAGCCGTTTCAGCCCCCACTTTTTTACTAATGCACGCTGCCTGCACTCTTGTTCTGTGCTATAGCTTTGGAATCAGTGGCGTTACCAGCTCGAAAAAACTGGGGTGGACAAAAAAAGTATTCTTGACATGTCCACCCCAGTCCACCCAGTGACGACGAATGTTTAGAAAATATGTAGTGCCTACAAATATTTGTCGAAATTTATTGTCAGCTTTTCATCGAATCATAAATATCTGATACATTTTATAGGAAAACTTGACTTCATAATATCGTAAAACTTCAAATAAGTCCTAAATTTTAACGTTCAATGGCAAATCAGCAGTTTATTTACCCACAGCTTTCTAAAAATGAGGGGGAGGGGGGCTGAATCTCATTTACTGCCCTGTATTGAAAACTTTTCGATTAAATCTTCATTATCGCTAGGAATTTCTAGATCTTGTGCGATGAGATTCGGATTTCGGTTCAGGCTCTTGACTGCCTGGAACATTTGAGACACCTCTGTTCATGGAGTAATTTCTGCTTACATGAAAGTTGCAGGAAAGTTTGGTCAATATCATATAAGGGTTTCTCAGTCGATGGACAACATTGTTTGTAATTGAGTATCCTCCTTTCAATGATTAGCCTTTCATAAATGTTATTAAAAACGCACTTTTTTCAAAGATGAAAAGGTATTTACCAGTCTTGAGATGTAATGTTCACCACAACTTCGAGTTAACATGTCAAGAGAAGTCCCTTGAGCAAAGATCATGGATACTTGATCAAAAGAGACTGTAGTACTATGGTGGCTCTGTATAACACTCCTTTATTTTTGCAAATTTTTGCGGCCTGAAATTTCTTAGCTGCTCACACCATCCTCCGCAAAACATTGTATATTGAATTCTATTTATTAAATGATATCATACCTTTCAACCTTCTACTATATATCGGAAAAAGCCCAGGATATAACTATACCATAGTCATGACTATACTGTCTGAGGTGGCACCATGGTTGCCGTCAAAGACAATAAACATTCGCATTTAGATGCTTCCAGTTTGCTGGGAAGCGCACCTTTTGAAGCAATCCTTAGGCTGAAATCTGTTTAATGGTTTTTAATCGGTTTTCTGGTGTCGTTGTTGAATATGTTAGCTTTTGCAATATGCTAACATATTCAACAACTATAGTTATCTTCTATAGTTATAGTTATAGTATAGTATATAGTATATATAGTATATATAGTATATAGAATATATATAAGATATAGCATATATAGTATATAGTATATAATATATATTATATATAGTATACAGTATATATAGTATATAGAATATATAGTATATATAGTATATAGAATATATATATAGTATATAGTATATAGTATATAGTATATAGTATATAGTATATAGTATATAGTATATAGTATATAGTATATAGTATATAGTATATAGTATATAGTATATAGTATATATAGTATATAGTATATAGTATATAGTATATAGTATATAGTATATAGTATATAGTATATATAGTATATAGTTATAGTATATCAACTATAGTTATAGTTATCAACAATATATAGTTTTCTTCAGATTGGGCCATAATCCCTCAGCTTTTTCTTCTTAGCATTTATTATCATTTCAGTAATCTACCTTGCACCCTACCAATAATTTTATGAATTGGCGATAAATCTGAACTTTTACCGCCAAGCCCAAAAATATCGGCGGGTTGCTCAAAAGCCCCACCAGTGCAGAGGAGAGGGGGGTCAGGAGGGTCACTGAACCGGGGGGCCTTTGACTAAAGGGGCCCATAAATAATAATTTGATAAGATAATATTTCCAAGTTATCTCTCCAATACCACAAACTGTCATTAATAGAGACAATAATGACAAAAGTCTATGAATGAAGTGAGGTATAACTAAGCAGTTTGAGTCTTTGATACCCTGGGTACCAGATTTTTGTTAAGAATTTCTCATCTCTGTTGGCTTGGACTAAGGAAGTTTAAAGCTTCTGAATGTCATCAAAAAATGTGATTGTAACAGGGCAACATACAACAATATGAATGTCATACGGATTTACACTGTGGCTTGCGCATCTATTTGCAACTGTGTGTCGGTTGTGATCAAATTTAGTTAATGGATTAAATGCTTTCCATTTTCTAAGAAATTTTCATTTATATCCATTATGGCGTTAAGATATCAGTTAAACTCAAATTACAGTATATCAAATAACAAACAGAAGTAATAGCCACCAGACAACGGCCTAGATAGGAAAATTCATAGGAGAGGTGAGAAACATAGATTTTCCGACAAAAAGCAGTTGTATTTTTCATAAATCCCCATAAACCTAGAAGCGTCTGCCTATGCCCACACCCACTACATCAGTACACCCTGCCCTCGTTTGCTAGCTAATTGGCTAATAAGGCGCCTTAGGCGCCCCTATAAAGTGAAAATTCATTTTGGCACCCCTGATATTTAGGGCAATTGCTCCCCTTCCCAACGAGGGGCGATTTTCTCTTGCAAATTGCGTACGAGATTTTGCCCAAAACAAAAAGATTTCTGGGGATTTTCAGATAAAACAAGAGGATTTTTACAAAAGGTGTACGATATTTCTTAGAGTGACTTGCCCCTCACTTACCAAAACGCCACTGATGCCGAGTACTCATTTCGTAAAGTACGTTTCTTACAAAATAATGATTTTATTTATTTTTCAATTCTAAATCCCGCCAATGATCAACCTTTTAAACATGTTCTTATATCACAGGAAAATAAAACACTGCCCCTAACGTACAGTTATCTCTCAAAATATTCACTCTTTTTATTTTGTGTCTCCCCTTTTCCATTCTATTTACTATTTTTTTACATATCAACCAAATAATGTCAGCCGAAGTTCAATAATCAAATCATTCAGACAAGTTGAGGCAAGAGTGTTCTGTTCTTTATTTTTTTCTTAGTTTATTGAAATTGATTTTTTCTACAACTTGATACTTCTATGGCTTGAATAGGAAAGACACGGGTGTGTGGAGAAGCTATTCCGCGCCTGTCCAACAAAAATCCCTCGACACTTTGGACGGGTATTCTGACGGACCTAACGGTTTTAATCCTGGTCACCGGAAATCATAGCTGGATATCAGTCCTATTTTTAAGAGGGTGCCAAATACTTACGCAGGATGCATTTCCTCGTCGTTTTGTTTTTACAAGCCAGCAATAGATTGGGTGTGGATGACTTAACAATTACCCACGATATGAGATTTGTTATCAAAATGATGCGTCACTATTGTCACGAAATTAGGTACAGGCGAAATCACTCGGACATCTACGAATTTTCAGAACCTTTAATTTTGAGAGTGCTGGTGCGTACCAAACATTCGCTGCTGCGGGAAAACAAATTTCAGGTAATCTATTTTTCAGTAATTAAGCATTAACATACAGCGTGTATAGCTCACGTGCCGTTAATGTTGTTATTTTACACAGGGTAGAAGTCGGAATCACTTGATTAGAAAAGAAGCTTGTTACCTTTTTTCCTCTAAAAGCGTGTGCACGTTCTTCCTTAGAAGATGCCGCAAATTTTGGTTGTGGCATCTGCCTTACACTTTTCTGTCTAAGTTTCTTTTCAGAAGTGTTAAGATTCAAGATGTCGCGCATGAAATTCATTGACGAAGGGGGTTTACTTATCCAAAAAGGCGGCTTTTCAATTTTAGCTAATTTGAATCCCAAGAACGTATATCGTCTTCCAACAAAACGGTATAATATTGCATTTAGTATGAAGTGTTCATGTTAACGTTTCAAGATTCCAACAATTAAGTCCTACCGTAGAGGGACAGATTGCGATTCAGTACATAAATAAATTATGCTATTAAAGGTAGAGTTATTAAAATTTGGCTTGACAAAAACTTAAACTGCATCAATATTTCAGAGCTATTCTCAAATTTGGATTCATTTTTGCCCTTGTCAAAGTTTGTCAATTGTAGGAAAGCTTATTTAAACCTTCATTTAATGAGAATAGCTGTGAAGAAGCCATGCTTTCGGAAAAGATTCCAAAGAGGCCTAAAGAGGATTATCTGCTCGTTCTCAAAAATCGTTGCTCTTCAGACAATGGAAACATTAAATGCCAATGTTGAGATAAGATTAACATGTTTTGGCTATATATTTTGTCAAAAAGATGTTATTTTTAAGGCAGGGGAATAAAAAGGCAAAAAGCAGCTCGGAGCAGTTGACCCGACTAGAGTGAGTCACCGTAACTTCTGCTTCCTCATTTCCTATCTGATTCAGTGGCGGAAATTATGGGGGCTCGCCCCCCCCCCGATCAGCGATGTCGTCGGAAAATTCGGGCTTTCGTTGAATAATTGACAACCGTTTAACGTGTCGAAATTACTCCAAGAAATCGTTCTGAAAAGGAATTATAAGCTAATCTAAGGGGCGTAGTCGGTGATCTGTGTTTTTCCCTTTTACCCCAGGAGCCTCTATAACCTCTCTGTGCCCTTTTTGCAAAATTTGAACACAGCATAGCTGATAAAATATTAGCCAGTACTAAATAATCAATCAAACAATATATGACCCAAATCAAAACTGCTTGTGAATTATATATTTAATTTCAATTCCGTAAAGAATAGCCGAAATTTTCATCAGATTCTTCCGAATAAAAGTTATTTTCAAAGGTATTCCCCACTGACGAAAACAAGATAAAATGCATAAAATGAACGTACGACTTGTAAAAAGTGTAATCGGTCGACCTCTTGTATCATCAATTGTCTTAAATGAGATATCGATCGCGATATCAAAGATAAATCTTTGGTGATATCAAAAATCATAAATGGGTTGCTCTTCTTGCTACTTAACTATGGTGTGTGTGGTTAGCAAAGTTTTCTAAAGGGATTCGCCAAAAAATCATCTATTCTTATCAAATTGTGCAGTTGCTTTGAAATTGGACATGATCCAAGCTGTTATCTTGTCGGAAAATCGAAGGCCTGTCCCCCCCTTCCCCCCCCCATAAGAAAGCCTGAATTTCCGCCGCTGATCTGATCCTTATTGGTTCAAAAAAACCCAGAAGATAATTTCGTTTCTGCAAATTCTTAAAGGCTTGGGGTATGGCCTTTGTCCCTACTCCCTCCATCTTCCCATGCGTCTTTGGATAGCATGTGATAATTATGGGTGCACGGTGAGAAAGCTTTCAACCAGCAAAGACCATTTTATTAGCTGGTTAGTATAAAAAGTTTGCAATTATATTGAGGTTTCTGTGCTATTTCTCAGATATAGCGACTATTGGTTTTGAAAGGTATCAACGTGTGACGTTATCAAAATCCTTTTTTAGAATTCTTGACTTATGATATTGTGAAAGAGCAGGAGCACCAAGGACCGATATACTGGGGGGCCTTAACTTAACTAGCATAAGTAGACTACTTTTATTTTGTAAAATATGGCTGTTGTTTCACCTAGTTATCACGGCTGCCCCCCCCCCCCCAAAGAAAAAGTTGTATCTCGGTCTTTCAGGAGCACTTACATTATTATAAGCTGATTCTTTTGCAAATTAACTAAGATATGGCAATGGAAATAACTGAATTTTGCCATTTTGCTAATGGTTTCAAATGAATTACTTTATATTTTGACTTTATTTGGTTTGGAGAAAGATCTCTGCCAATTTTTAACACATTTCATGGATTTTGCACATTTGAAGATACTTCATCAGATTATTTGGCCCTAATCAACAGCGGCGTAACCTGAACTTCCATACTAGGGGGTGAAGTGTAATCTGTAGTAAAACATACCGACAAAGGCAAAGATGGAAAAAATTAGGTGCTACTTTCACCAACCTATATACGATTTCACCAAAAAACTGAAAATTTTGTGGACCAACTGAAAATGTACCGACCAACTCGCGAAGAATTGAGGGTGCTAGCACCCACCCACCCCTACACCACCCGCTAGATATGTCCCTGCTAATCCACGTCATTTCGATGGAATTCCATCCTGCGCGTCACAGATTATTTTGACGTCATGGGCAAAATTTTGAGGTATCTTCCCATGGAGCACTGATTCGGCCCCACCTATTGACCTTCCGGGTTAATATCACCGCTTTCATCCAAGGGCTAGTGTTTAGCCCGCGGGACAAATCACTCTTGAAAATGGTGTGCGAGATTGATAGTCACTGCTGATTAATTTGTGATTAAAGCAATTTTGTGTGTGATAACATTTGACTTTTTGTGATTAAAGTGGTTAATTTGTGATTTATTCGTGATTGATTTGTTGTTAATCTGTTATTATCTAGAAATTGAATCATAAATTCAAAACTGCTCTCAAATAATTTCATGCGCAAGAAACGTCGTTTGAACACATGACGGTAAACCAATTCATAAGCAAAATCATTATTTTGGTTCTAAATTATGGAACATTCTTCCTCTTTCTATTCGTGTTGCTGGTTCTGTTTCAATGTTTCGCTTTAAATTAAAACTCTATTTCATCAAATCTTATGGGTTGTAATGGGGTATTGGCTAATCTGGTTTATGTTCTTTTTTATTCCTAACGTTTCTTTGCTTTTGTGGGAAGGGAGGCTCTCTCTCGGTTAGTTTATCTAAATATAGAGCTCCTCCTTAATCAATCTATCTTATATACGATAATTATATAATTATCGTATAAAACTTGAAATTATATAATTATATAAAATATGAAACTTGAAACTGCAAAGTTACATTACATGTAGGTGCAATAGGGGAAAGTGAACTGCTTGCTTCCACAGTAAACATTGCGTTATAAAATAATTATTTAAAATTGTAGCTTTTGCCATAATGTTTGTTACAAAGAGTCCATTTTCTAATAAAGAAGGGATAGCTACAAAAGCTTTTTATTTAGAATTCTGATAAAGATTGAACAGTAGGTCTTTGCGTCGACTTGGGAGCTGGGTAGTCTGTGGCCTAATTTTAAAAAATATTGTTCTTTTGCAGCAGTAATCATTTCAAAAGTTTCATTGCGAACAACTTTTACTTCATTCCAATCTTCAGGTTTCCTCTCACGCTTCAAATACTTACTAAATACCCTGTGTTTTCTCTTAATCGCTGTTTTAATATGAGAATTAAACCAAGAAGGATCTTTGTTATTACATTTAATGGTTTTATTAGGTATACATCGGGACAGTATAGAATGTAATTTGCTAGTAAAGAGATCTGTCATTTTATTTTCACAGAGGCCGTGGAATTCGTGATCCCATTCAATACTTGCTAATTTTGTTTTAATCTTCAGAGGACAAGCTTTGGAGTACTCCCAAATAATGCGTTTGTACGGAGGAGGATACGGAACTGAGATGTTTATTTTGCCATTAATAATCTGATGTTGGCAATGTTCGTGCAAGACATTCCTTCTTCTCTAATGTTAGTTGAAGTATCTATTAGTTGATAAAGATTATTTGTTTCAATGAGTTCGTCAAGCGCTGTTCCCCCAGGATTTTCAACATCATCAGGCCATCACTGCACAGATCTACAATTAAAATCGCCTGTCAATATAATCGAGTGATGTATTTCATTTTGTACTTGATCGACAAGCATCTGCAATCCAATTATGAAATTTTCAAATTCTATGCTGTTTTGACTGGGACTTCGATACAATGTAACAAAAGATATCTTTTTACCAGCAATATTCATTTCAGAAACGATCATTTATTGAAGAGTTTCAAGATCACTCCTTCTCTTAATGGTAATCCCCTCGTAAAAATATAAGCATACGCCTACACGAGACCGGTTCCAAAAAGATCCGTATCCATTTGAGTTCACTTCCTCCTGTTCACACGAGACCGTCTCCAAAAAAGTTCACTTACGCTTTCTGTTCACACAAGACCTGAACTCAAGATCGTTTGTGAAAGAAAGCTCAAAACACTCGAGCCGAAGGTCCCTATTACCTCGTCCAGAAGGTTCTTCAATTTCTTTTCAATTCTCAGCTTGCTCAAAACGATCATGTCGTTTGGAGCCCTGCTCTGCTAACGCAACCAACCTGTTTTGTCGAGTTCGATGAACCTTTGACATTAGGGTTGCGAACAAGAAATCACTGCTGACTGCTACAGAGAGTGCACATAAAACCAAAATCAAAATAAACGTTATTTTGAGTGTTTACACGAGACCAAGTGAGACCGGCTTCAAATGAGTCCGCTTTCGTAGGTGAACTCAAATGAGTACGGCTAGGTGACCTCAAATTAGTACGGTTAGGCAGGTCTCGTGTAAACAGAGCGTCAAGTGAACTCAAATGTATATTGAACTTTCTGGAAGGGGTCTCGTAGGGCACACGTTTGCATATCCAAAGCTTACATGGGGTATCAGAAATTCTTTGCGATGGTTGCTTCGTGGGTTAATTGGGTGATAGATCAATGGAGACAGCCACCCTCATGTATATCAGCTTTAGGCCTTTAATCATA